ATCTATCTATCATCTATCTATCTATCTATCTATCTATCTATCTATCTATCTATCTATCTATCTATCTAATCCTAAAAGCAGAAAAGGCTTTATTGGGGCAGGCACCAATAAAGGAAGTAGGGAAGTGAATAAAAACAAAGTCTAGGGGCTGGAGCGTTGGAGAATTGGTTCGGCAGTTAAGAGCACTGGCTACTTTTGCGGAGAACCTGGGTTCAATTCCTAGGACCCACATGGGCGCTAACAACTGTCCACCTGTCCATAATTCCAGTTCTAAAAAGCAGAAAAGGCTTTATTGGGGCAGGCACCAATAAAGGAAGTAGGGAAGTGAATAAAAACAAAGTCTAGGGGCTGGAGCGTTGGAGAATTGGTTCGGCAGTTAAGAGCACTGGCTACTTTTGCGGAGAACCTGGGTTCAATTCCTAGGACCCACATGGGCGCTAACAACTGTCCACCTGTCCATAATTCCAGTTCTAGGGGATCTGAAACCCTCTTCTGATCTCCACGGGCATTGCACAACACGGGTACACTTATGTATATGCAGGCAGTACACTTATACACATGAAATAAAAATAAATAATAAAAAGAACAAAGTCTAAAGATCCACATATATGAATATGTCACAATAAAACTCACTCATTCGCATGCTAATCAAAATATTAAAAAAAATAACAACCAACAACCCTACCTGTGAAGACAGGCTGGCTGATTATGACCACAGACAGGAGCGGTGATGCAGAGAGATGCTGATGAAAGTTAACAGTGACCTGGCAGTTGAGAAGGGAAACCTTGGAGAATAGCTGAGGTTAAGAGGAAGAGATGGTATGGGGAGCAGGTCTGAGGATTGAGAGGTTGGCTGTGTCTCTACTGGGTCAGGGTTATCAGCAAGATGAAGGAACCTAAGCTTCCTGTGATTGAAGTCTGCAGGCAGAAGGATTTCCTTACCTTCTGATGGTGCCTGTCTCACAGAATCCCAGTGTCAGGATCAGGACTATCTACTTCTTTTGGCATCATGGAGTTTATTTTGTTATCTTTTTCTATTCCAATGTCTTTATTGCTCAGTCCAAGAACCATGGTGTCCACTTGTTATCAACCTCACCAGCTGACTGTGAGGGCACTTTTTGGGATGGTATATAAGAAAGAGGATCTGATAAATAGATTTAATGCAAGATGATTCTGAATTTAATAGATTTGGACCAGTTCAGAAGGTCTGACCTGCATAGCCCCTGCCACAAGCCAGACATGTCCCTAAGGACATTTGAATTTGATATTCTCTCTCTCTCTCTCTCTCTCTCTCTCTCTCTCTCTCTCTATCAAAATCTAGGTATGTCTTGGTTTGTACATACATTCCTTTTC